TGTATTTAAAGTATTTATTTATTTTGACAACGGGTAAAAATGTATTTAAAGTATGTATTTAAAGTAAATTGATATACTTTTATTTAATATATAAAAGAAAATTTAAATTTCAAATGCAGAAAAAATAACGTAGAGTTATACTTTTATTTAATATATTTCAGACATGTAAATCAAGAAAATTTAAATTTAAATAAAATACTAATAACTGTATATAAAAATATTGCAATTCATAAAGATCAATTTTGTAGTTTACCCATAAGATTAAAAGTGAGAGGCCAGCTGCAGTTATACAGAAATAGGTTATTAGCATATAGAACTTTTTTCTTACAACCAGTTGTCCTGTTGTGTTTGTGTTTTAACCCAATTTGACACTATATATTACAACTAAGGAGCATACTTCAAGAATGAACTTCCTTTGCTACTCTACATGCCATTTTAATTCCATCTGAGACTGGAAGACAAAGCTTGTTTCTTCAAAATGGCATTGAAGGGTCAAAATGTCAAAGAATGGGCCATAACTCCTTGTTGGGTCCTATCATCAAAATGACATTGAAGGTTCAAAATGTCAAAGATTGGGTCATTAACAATATCCAGAAGATAAGAAAATAATCCATTTTTTTCTAATGTGGCATATATGAATGTCCGAAAAAGACCAATTCAATTTTATCAGGGGCTTATTTGTTTTATAGCAAAAAAAAAATGTAAATTAGATTTATAGAGAGATGGTAGAGAGAGATAGGGAGAGAAATTAAGAGAGAAGGGGTATTTTGGTTAGTTAGTGAATTTGTATTTTTTATAACTATTATGCCTAATTTCCTTTTTATCAGATACTATCTTTTGTTTTTTGGATCAAATCAGATAATATCTCATAAACTATGGGGATGATTGGCAAGTGATGTTGAATCTTTCCTAGTCTAAATTATTTCTAAAACAATTTTTTTCAATCATGCTTTATAAAGATTTTTTAAAGTCACAGATTTTTCTTTCTTTTTTGTTTAGTTTTGGATCAAATCCTCTATATATTAAAGGAGAAGCATTACAACATTGTTTTGTAGCCACGTGTCATCACCACAATCATTCTTAGAATCCTTAGAAAAATATGTTTGTCTATCTAAATATATAATAAGCTTTTTANTTTTTTCAATCATGCTTTATAAAGATTTTTTAAAGTCACAGATTTTTCTTTCTTTTTTGTTTAGTTTTGGATCAAATCCTCTATATATTAAAGGAGAAGCATTACAACATTGTTTTGTAGCCACGTGTCATCACCACAATCATTCTTAGAATCCTTAGAAAAATATGTTTGTCTATCTAAATATATAATAAGCTTTTTATTAAACTAATCATAAATGACTTATTCATTTTTTTTCATTATTTCCTTAAATAAAAAATAACGGAATTGCCAAATATGATTAAAGAATATATGACATTTAATGATTTTCAATAATAAATATTTGATAAAAATTAGTGTAAATTTTAAATTTTAATTTATTAAAATAAATTAAACAACCACATCAACTATCTAATAAAAATTTATATTTTTTCGTATATGCTATACTTTGAATTTTTTAAAATGACTATAAATGACTAAAGTTGTTAAAAAGCCTCACTAAATTTTTTGTGATCCATGGTTAAATTTTTATAAAAAAATAGAAATGATTACAAAATTATATAAGTAAAAATGTCTCATTTAATATATATATATATATATATATATATTGTTCTAATGTGCTTTGATTTTTTTGATAAAAAAATTAAATAAAATATTGAAAACTTAATATTTAGTTTTAAACTTTGCATATTGTTTTAAAACTATAAATAACTAAAAATGGTAAACATCCCACACAAAAAAAAATTGTTATCAGTGATTTAAAATTTTTATTATAAAAATATAAAAATGAACAAAAAATAATATGAGTATAAACTATAATTTAACGAATATCAATATTAAAAATTTATTATATTTCTACGATAATATCATTTAAACTTAATTGTATATCATATAAAATAGAAAAAATAATTTTTAATTGTTTTCTTAAATAAAAGTAACGGATAGCCAAATATGGTTAAAGAATATATGAAAATTAATAATTTTTAATAATAAAGATTTGATAAAAATTAGTGTAACTTTAAAATTTGAACTTATTAAAATAAATTCAACAACTACATTAACTATATAATAAAAATTTAGATTTTTTCGTATTTGCTATACTTTGAATTTTTTTAAATGACAATAAATGACTAAAGTTGTTAAAAATTCTCATATTGAAGTTGATTTTACATGTGTTTAGAAATTATAATAGGAAACTATTAGTTCGACATAAAAAATATCTAAAATTTATATAAAATGAAACCAAACAAACAACAATAGTTTTTGGTTATCATCGAAAAAATCAAAAACATCAAACATTTACACCAAACAAACCAAAATAAATATAGATTTAGAATGATAGTTATATTTTAGGAGATTAAAAAAACAACGTAAAAATAAACTAATATTCATGCTAAACAGACATAATATCATTTTATCATTAAAGTAACAAAAGTAATAACCTCATCCCGCGCAAGGCGCGGGTTATTACCTAGTCAGATACTATCTCATAAACTATGAGGATGATTGACAAGTGCTTTAGAAGTGCTGTAGAATCTTTCCACAGCCTAAATTATTTCTAAAGCAATTTTTTTTTCCAATCATGCTTTATAAAGATTTTTTAAAGTCACAGATTTTTCTTTTCTTTTTGTTTAGTTTTGACTGTGGAAAGCACTAAACCTAGAATATTTATTTTTTGCTTTAGAAAATTATATGTAAATGCTTAAATCTTTTTAAATTTACAGTCAAAATCTTACAGCTAAATTACCTACAACCACAGTAGAAAAATCTACAGCTATAATTCTATAGCAAAAAATATAAAGTTATAGTTCATTCCAATCAACCTCTATATTTAGAGTTATATGCACTAAAGTTGTGTTTCGAAAAAAAAGGAAGGCACCAAAGTTCAACGTGGAGTCACTTTCCAAATAATACAAACTAACTGTTCGTATATTTTATTAGATTGAAATATTTTTTCAGTAAAATCAATTTTAATAGAAATATAAATCATTAATCTAATAATTTTCATTTATAAAAAATTGTTATAACTTTAATCTAACAAGGAAAGAGTAAAAAATGCTCCCATATCAAAAATATTTTTATAGATTTAAAAATTATTATATAATATTTTGCTAAATATTCAAAATTTTGTGCAGATATAAAGTTCTAAAAAAATTAAAGGGAGAATTTCAATTATACCACTTTGGTGGTACCACTTTTCATATTTACCATCAACAAATGAACATTTTCAAAAATACACATTTTATTAAAGTATAAAAGACTATTATATCATTATTCTTTATATATATACATAAAATAAAAATTAAATAAAATATTAACCCTAAACCCTAAAACATCAATTCTAAACTCTAGACCCTAAAAAGTAAACCCTAAACCCTAAAAATCAACCCTAAACCCTTACATATCAATTTTAAACCTTAAACCTAAACTTTAAACCCTAAAAAGTAAATCCTAAACCCTAAGAAATCAACACTAAACCCTAAACTATCAATACTAAACCCAAAACCGAAAACCCTAAATTCTAATAGTATTTTGAGTATTAAAATTTTAGTGGTAAAGTTGGTTAGTGTAAAATTGAAAAGTGGTATCTTGAAAGTGTTATTTCTGGCAATTTCCCAAAATTAAACAACTCTCAATCTAAATATAAAACATCTCATCATAAATTCAAGTGTCAATAATTCCCTAGAATCCAATTAAAATAGTAATTTATGCTATTTAACCTAACTAAATTCGAAGAGTCGAAATAAATAAAATTTTCAGTAGTTTTGTGAATTTTTTTTTGGTTGAAAACAAGCTTTAAAAAATAAATAAAGAAGTATTTGTTAGGGAAACTAAATTTTAGTGAAATCTCACTTGTTGACAAGATTTGTTTTAGAGTTCAAAACAATATCGATAAAGATCAAATGAATAATATTTCTAAATAGAAAAAAAACACTACGAAACCAGTCAAACAAGATATCAATTAGGAAAAAATGATTTCATAATTATTGACATTTTTTTTGTTTTCAGCAACTAATTTAAAAAAGCTGTTTAGCTTGCAACTCTCTTGCTAAACACAAGACCGAAAATTAACTTGTACAAAAACATTAACTCCTTGTTCCAAATTTAGGCTTTGATTGGTAACATGTGTTACCTTGGATTAAGTTTGAGTTAGGCTAGTAACTCAAAAATGTTACCAATCATGCATTAAATTTATTTTTTTGATTTTAAGTTTGATTTAAGATGTGTTGTAGTTGGGTTACAATTTTGACTTAAGCCCTTTATAAAATTGTTAACTTAAATCATAAACCTACATCAACCAAAATAGCATATTTTAGAAGATGAGTTAGATGAGTTACAAATTAAATTAATTTTTCTATTTAAGAAATGAGCCGTGAACTAATATTTGAGTGTGTTTATTAAATTTCTTATTGCTCTGTTTATTTATGTGTAAAATTCTACCGTTGTAAAAAACGTTTGAAAACTCTACCTAAATTTATGCTAGTCAAAGATTCTATAATCTTTCTTGTTCCTATCTTTTTGAATTATTCAAATGTTTAACCAATTATATACAAAATCTTAAGTGTACTTAGAAAATTTTAGAATAAATAATATTACTAGCTATTATCATACTTAGAAAATAATATATACTTATATTTATTTTCAAAATTTTATTTAAAATAATTTTTATTTATTGTAAAATAGCTTAATGGTTTATTTGTTTTTAATAAAAAATTATATTTCTGTTTTTATATTTAATTCTTTTATTCAAAACTCATACTGCAACTTATACATCAAAAATGTTACCAGTCATAAATTTTAAGAAAATGGTAATTTTTATTTTTACTGCAAACTTACCACATAAACGTACAGTTTTTACCACATATATTTTACTGCAAATTACATCAAACTATAAATCATAATGTAATTCAACTCTAATACTATATGTCACCAGTCGGAGCCTTAGAACGTCAATCATTGCCTTCGGTTCCTCCGCTCGCTCTCAGATTCCTCTTAAACGCATAAAAGAACAAGACCGCGTCTCCAAAACGCATCTTCCGAATCTCCGACAATGGCTCTCCAAGCCACTTCTACTACCTTCTCCTTCTCCGCTCCTACTCTCCGACCAACTCGTGACTCATTCACTTCAAAACGTCGCATCTCCATCAAAGCTTCTTCAGGACTCTCTTCTCCTCCCCTCCTCTCTCTTTCACGATCTAATCTCAAAGGTTAACTTGATTTTTTTTTTTTTGCATTTTGGTTTCTTTTCCCAGAAATATCTTGAAATGATTAAAAATTTAAAACAATAAACTTTGGATGATCCCTAGATTGTTTAGAATTGTCTCTAATGAAATCTTCTGGATCTAACTGTATAATGCTACTGAACAGTCAAGTCTTTATATGTGTATATAGCATAGTATAATCATTAACAAGCGTTACATAAACAAAGTTCACAACTTTTTTGTATGTAAAAAAAAAGGAAGAGCCTTTGCTACTGATGGGTCAACGCAAGAGTCACCTTCTGTGGTGTGTTTCGGAGAAATGCTAATAGATTTCGTACCAACAACAAGCGGGCTTTCTTTGGCCCAAGCACCAGCTTTCAAAAAGGCTCCAGGTGGCGCCCCTGCTAATGTTGCTGTTGGTATCGCTCGTCTCGGTGGTTCTTCAGCTTTCATTGGCAAGGTGACGTGGCATTACCAAAACCTCTTGAGCTTTCTTTTGAACTATATGTTGATGTGTTGTTGTGCACAACAGGTTGGTGAAGATGAGTTTGGTTATATGCTTGCAAATATCCTCAAGGATAACAATGTGAACAGTGAAGGCATGCGTTTTGATCCTGGAGCCAGAACTGCTTTAGCTTTTGTCACTTTGACTAATGAAGGCGAGCGTGAGTTCATGTTTTATAGGAATCCTAGTGCTGACATGTTGTTAGAAGAGTCTGAGCTTGATTTGGATTTGATTAAGAAGGTAAAAACTATCAACATTTTTTAGTTGTTTAAGTTGAAACATTTTACTTTTTATGAAATCAATCAGCATTTTGATCTTTGTGGTGGCAGGCGAAGATATTCCATTACGGTTCAATAAGTCTGATCACAGAACCGTGCAAGTCAGCTCACAAAGCTGCAGCAAAGGCTGCTAAGGATGCTGGTGTGATTCTTTCGTATGACCCTAACCTTAGGCTCCCCTTGTGGCCTTCTGCAGACAATGCTAGAGATGAAATTCTCAGCATTTGGGATACTGCTGATATCATTAAGGTCTCCTACACTCTAACTATATATTTTGTTTAGTCATTCTCAACTGAAAAACTTGGCTTTGCTATTTGTGTTTTTTTTTTAAAGATTAGTGAAGAGGAGATTGAGTTTCTAACGAAAGGAGAAGATCCTTATGATGATTCTGTCGTCAGGAAGTTGTTCCATCCTAAGCTGAAACTACTCCTCGTCACTGAAGGTCCTGAAGGCTGTCGCTACTACACAAAGGTGTGAAGAGTCCCTCTCCATCTCCTTCTTTTGTTTTTGATATACTTATCCAAACTAAACTACGTAGCTTTAGTCTTGATACTTAAGGTTAATGGTGTTTTTTTGTTTTAAAATATTTTTCTATTACAGGATTTTAGCGGGAGAGTACATGGATTAAAGGTGGAAGTAGTGGACACGACAGGTGCTGGGGATGCGTTTGTTGCCGGAATATTATCTCAACTAGCATGTGATCTCTCTTTGCTTCAGGTAAAACATTGATTCTTGTCATTTGGGTTTTTTGACCGTTTGATAAGCTAAGACAACAGTAGCTTTCACTTGACAAAGTTTAAGCTATAGTAACCAGCTTAGGAGTGGGTGTACTAGATTGTAGCTATAGCCTAGAGCTATAAGAATAGCAGTTTCAAAGCTTTGTTCTACAACAGAGTTATCTGCATTTTTATGCTCAATTGTTTTGATTCAGGACGAAGAAAGACTGAGAGAGGCTCTAATGTTTGCGAATGCGTGTGGTGCCTTAACCGTAAAAGAGAGAGGTGCAATACCGGCACTTCCTACGAAAGAAGCTGTACTTGAGGCCCTACTCAAAGTCGTCGTCTAAAATCAAAAACAAAATGAGAAAGCAGATTCAGATTTTTGTTCCTCAAATCTGTATTTGTTGTTTGTTTGTAACATAGCTATACGTTATTAGTGTATTCTCACATTGTTAGTATGCTAGCAACTAACCAAACTAGCATGTTTTGTCAAGTTAAGAGAATTTTTAATGCTATTTCTTCATTTACTTAATCGGCAGTTTAGATGGTAATACAGAAAGAAGCAAACCAGAGACAAAGAATCACATATCAGAAACAGCCCCAAAGGTAGTTAAGCTCCTCTCTCCGTTGCTTTGGTCTTGTTAAACATTTGCTACTTCTGTCAACTCCGTCAAAACGTCTTCCTGGTTTGGTTCGATTAGCACTAGATTCTTTCATCATCTCGTCTTCCTCTAGATCCACAAGAGATGATGCCTTTTCCTTACTTAACCAAAACGGTAGAATCAAATCTAAAACCAGTTTCAGTTTTTCATGTAAAAGAATAATGACAGGAAGAAATGTACCACTAAATATTGCGGTTATTTGCTCCTGTCATCTTCTTCCTGAAACCAAGCTTTTGATGTTTTTGAGATCGAAGTAGAGGAAGAGCCAACTCCAACAACAATACGTATGTTTGTCCCCTTCAAGATTCTCTTCATATGTACACTCGCCTATGTTAGTCTCATCTTCAGAGACTTCAGACTCATATATCTCAGATTCATAGCTCCCTTCTTCTTCGATGCTTTGTTTGGTCCATATCTGAGCACCACATTCAATAATGTCGAAGTCGTGGAAAATGCTGCTGAACTCGAACACTATCTCTCTGCTGCTTACTTCCATGTCTTCGATATAATCCTCTTGGAGGAAGTCAGAGTAAAATATAAAGAGATGTTCCGTCAGTAATCTTGGAATGGCGTAAACGTAGTCCTCAATGGGGAGACGTAACCCTCCTTTGGCTTTGGTCCTACACAACAGTTTTGGAATCCTGTTTTCTTTGGCTTGATCGTTTGGTGAAACGACAAGACAAACCTTAAACCTGGAGAGAGCAGAGAGGGGGTTGTTACAAGTGGATTGAATAGTCAAGCAGTTGCCTCTGGCTCGGTGATCAAACACTTCAGGTACCTCACTTCCAGGTAAGAGAGCTGAACCATGAAGGAATAATGATTGTGGGATAATGTCTCTTTCCCCCAATGTGAAGCAGTTGTTGAAACTGAGCATCGCTTTGGGAATGTCAAAAGGGCGTACTAGGATCTCCAGTGATTGATAATCTTCTGCACGTAGGAATGTGAGTGAACCAGGGAGCTCTCTCAGTTCTTCGAGTAGTCTGCAGCTATGTAAATCAAGTTGTGTCAACCCGTGAAGAGCCTTGATGGAATATGGAATCTTTTTAACATCAGTATATCTTAAGGCTACTTCTGTTACACTCTTTTGAAGATGTGTTATCTCTCTAAGCATTCCAACACTTTCCCTTCTAGGAGAGCTTAGGCCGGTGCGCAGCACAACTGATGCAGGCACATCTTCTAACTCCGGTTTCTTTATGTGCGTTGAGATAACTGGAATGTTCTTCGATTTCGAGAAACCTCTCATGAAGATGTATTCGAGGGATGTCAAGCTCAGGTGAGCTGGAATGGCTTGAAGGTTTACGCAGTTACTCCTCCACGACTTTTGGGAACATGAGGATGGAGTCTCTACTAAACTCACGCAAAGACTCAGTTTCAATGTCTCAAGATTTATAGCATTTGAAAGATCTGGAAGTTCCTTCAGATGATGGGACCCTGACAGATCCATCTTCCTGAGACTTGTAAGTGGCTGTATATGAGAAAAGAAAGAAACATTATGTAATATGAAATATGATACATTTTTCAATGTTCGGTAAACAGAAGAAGAAGAAGAAGAAGAAAAACCAACCTGGGTTCCTAACCAGAGTTTCTCGAGCTGGCTATACTTCATATCAAGTTCAACAAGATAGTCTGGATGAAATGTAGGAGGAAGACACTTCCCTGGATATGAGTCCCAGTGTAATAACCTTAAGCGATGTGGAAACTCCATCTCCAACGGTATATACATTTTATCATTCCCATCAAATCTTCCTTTGTTATAAACTTTGAGGAATCGAAGATTAGGCATTCTTTTAAGCGCTCTTTTGCTTATAACCACTTCGTTGATACCTGATGTATCAAATGATATGCCAGACATAGCTCTAGTACCCTACACCATAATAATAAGAATTTGTAAGCACAATAAAGCATATAGCAACACAAAGAAAGAAAGAAAGAGAAAGAACTTACTGTATCGTTCTCAAGGACGTCACAAATCTCATGAGCATCTATTAAGATTTGTCGTTTCCAAGGCTCTTGTCTCTGAATAGCTTTGCTACCCACTTGTTGTAGCAATCTGTGCATCACTATTTCCCCATTGACGGTTTTACGTATCAGGGATCTACTAACTAGGATTTCCAACCCGGCTTTAACATCCAAGTCATCGTCAGCGAGCATGGCTATCACATGATCACCATCTTTATAGTTGAAGAATACTGCAATATGGAGAAACAGAACTTGCTCACTCTCATCTAAACTCTCATATCCGACTCTAAGTACTCTCTCGATATCTCGATCAAGGCTATTTTCTAGCCTGCGCAGTATAACTTCCCACTCATCTTCACTCTTTCCGCGTAAAGATGAACCCATGACACGGAGGCCCAAAGGAAGGTTGCTGCATAGCTCTGTTACTCTTTTGGCAAGCTTTTCAAAACCATCTGGTGGAGAGCTCTGTCTAAAAGTATATCTACTAAAGATCTTACGAGCTTCTTCACTAGATGGAAAACCCACATGGTATGCAAAGTACTTGATACCATGACGCTCCAAAATTTCCTGATCTTCCGTGGTAATGATAATCCTGCTTCCAGGACCAAACCACTTAGTTTCATCAGCCAGAGCTTCCAATTGCTTTATATCGTCCACGTCATCAAGAATGATCAACACTTTCAAGTCGCATAGTCTCTCTTTTATTACTCCTAAATGGGATATCCTAATACCATCTTGGTTCAAAATATTTGAAAGAAGTTTTTCTTGTAAACGTAACTTCAAACCATACTCATCAAGACCACTGTGATAGTGTTCTCTAAGATTCTCCAGAAAACA